ATGTGACACCCGGGCACTTAATTTTGAACAAAAATATATTTAATCCTTATTATTAATATTAAAAAAGAAATTAATTATTGATAATTCAAAAGGGTTTTTAACTAATGCAAGAGGGTAATTAAATCTAAACTCAAAAAAATTTTGAGTTTAAATAAAAGTTCTAATCCAACCTTCAACTTTTGTAAAAGGGCTTGAAGGCCACTAATATACATGAAAATAATATAACATGAGATGTTCAATAACAAAATTTACAGGCTGAATCCTTCCTATCATACTTCGTAGCTTACCCTTTTATTTTTAAAAGCTTAAAATATAAAACTCTGTGAGCTTCCTTAAAAATAGGGATATCAAGATAAGCAAATGAAAGAAAGTCTGCACTAAATTTAAGATGTTGTTTAATGCCTTTATAAAGTTGACTAAAAACATTTTTACGATGAAAAATTTGACAATATTTTTTAAGTGTAAATATTCAATCTCTTTTACTATTTGTTGTTTATTTATAAAATCCAAATTATTTTTCTTTGAAAGCAAGGGTAAGTTTTGTTAGTATGTTTAGCAGTAATTCGTATCATAGATAAAAACGAAAAACTTCAGATGGAGAAAGAAAGTGAAAGAGTAAATTTAATTTTTAATAAAATAATAAATATATAATGAAACGTTTCTGGGAGTGGAAATTGGGTTAAAGACTTTAGAGTCTTCCCTTGTTGTGCTCGGTGGCAATCGCAGACTTCCAAACCCTCTCCTCCAATCCCATCCATTGACAATGTCTCCCTTGCCGAAGCTCCTATTGCTGATCCTCACGGTGGCCGTCTCCTCCGCGATGGCCTCCGATGACGAAAGAGTGAGCGAATTGCTCTCCCTCCAATCCAGATCCAAATCGGGCGTCATCCGCCTCAACGACCAATCGCTTTCCCGCTTCCTCACCGCCGTCAAAACCCCGCGGCCCTACTCCATCCTCCTCTTCTTCGACGCCGCGCAGCTCCACGACAAGCAGGAGCTCCGCCTCACCGAACTCCACAACGAATTCTCCATCGTCGCAACCTCTTTTCTCACCAACAACCCTTCTAATTCCAAACTCTTCTTCTGCGACATCGAGTTCAAGGAGTCCCAGCTCAGCTTCTCTCAATTCGGCGTCAACGCCCTCCCTCACATTCGCCTAATTGGGCCTAACATGAGCCTGAAGGACTCCGAGCCCATGGACCAGGGCGACTTCTCCCGACTCGCCGAGTCCATGGCCGAGTTCGTCGAGGCCAAGACCAAAATCTCCGTGGGTCCCATCCACCGTCCCCCCGTCTTCTCCCGCAACCAGTTGATCCTCATCGCGGTCGTCATTGTCATCTGGATCCCATTTTTCATCAAGAAGGTTATCACGGGGCAGACCCTTCTCCACGACCCTAAGGTCTGGTTGGCCGGTTCCGTCTTCGTTTACTTCTTCAGCGTTTCCGGGGCTATGCATAACATCATTCGCAAGATGCCCATGTTTCTCGTGGACCGAAACGATCCTTCCAAACTCGTGTTTTTCTACCAGGGTTCCGGGATGCAGCTTGGTGCAGAGGGTTTTACCGTCGGCTTTCTTTACACTGTTGTGGGCCTTCTCTTGGCGTTTCTGACCCACGGGCTTGTCAGGGTTAGGAACGTGAGTGTGCAGCGGGTGGTTATGATTTTCGCGCTCTTGGTTTCGTTTTTGGCTGTGAAGCAGGTTGTTTACTTGGATAACTGGAAGACGGGTTACGGGATTCATGGGTTTTGGCCCTCTAGCTGGAATTGAGGTTTGATGACGCTTCTGGGTCTGATTCCCATTTTGAAATCTAAACATTAACAAAATGTCTTCTTATGTTAGAACTTTGCCGGATGTCATACTATATAGCTTATTTTTTAGTACTAAAGTTTTTATTATCTGGGTACTACATTTTCTCTTGATGTGTTATGATTATTAGTTGTGATTGCATAATTTCGAATTGCATTGTTCTAAATTGATTGTTGTATTAGTCTTGTGTCGAACCATTCATTTCAATGATCAATTGATCTTCAAGCTGACGTATGCTGTCGTGCTGCAAGTGCATGGCTGATAAAGGGATTGATATCTAGGACGTGGATGGTCTGAACTCAAAAGTGCAATGCGTAGTTTCTTATCAATTTGCTTAACTTCAGCAAAAATTGATCCACTTGGCTCTTCCGTTTTAGAATCTACAACTTGCACTTTAGAGAGCCTAATTCTTTTTTTTAACAGAATTGACAGAACCTTGGGCTATACATTTGTCTTTGTCCGTATCATCATGCGTTAAAATTGGTTAAATATTGTTACTTGATAAGGGCTGTTATTGATTATCACATCAATGCTCCTATGCTTTATCATGAAATTTATAGTTTATTTTTGTTTTATTTTATTGAGATACTCCTAATGCACGAGTTAAATATTGTAACCTTCCAGAATCATTTTAAAGATCAAGGTCATGCTATCATCCTTTATGATAACACATTGTATTGAACGAGGAGGTATTTTTTAACCTTTCTTTTTAGTTCGAAAATTCAGTTACTATTTATTTGTCCATTGCATATTATCTTGTGAAATTTCGTGAGATTCTGGTTGTGATTGGTGTCAGATGGGATTTTATCATCATTCCTCTTGTACACAACATCTTTGAAGTCTATTTTTTGGTATTCAGACTTTAGGCGATGGGTTTAATATCTTATTTCTCCTTTTTCCACACTTGAGTCTGTCTGGTTTAGTAGGTAAAAATTCGCAGGTGAAAAAGAACACAAGGATTGGAATTATTTTCAACCTGAGAAAATTAGTTATATATCATTTTTCCAGTCTTTTCATATTTTTGTTACACCAAGCAACTGTAAAATGACTTTCATTCCAACGTTTTACCTTCCCACTTCCAACCTCTCAACAAGCAAGTGCTTTCTTTATACCTGTTAGGGATCTATACATGCAAATTAGCTATAACGGAAAGAAATATTGTCTGTCATCATTTTGACGGTTAAATTAGATCTAGTGGGATATCCATGTTCTCTACTTTGATCGCTAAATCAGGATTTAAAGTCCATGGGAATAGGTAAGATGTAATATATTGAATCAGAATTTGATGCAGTCACAAATCCATATATCAACCACAGACCATTGTCATCAAACTAAGTTGGTAGATCGTCAGGATGAGCTTAAACGGCTTATATATAGAGTGTTTCAAATCCTATAAACTGGAATTGGAATCAATATTTGTCCTCATCCATCAGCTTTGATTTGTTGACTGCTGTGATTTCACGAATTTGTGATTGTAGCATATTTGAGTTCATTAGAGTTCCAGTTAGATATCCATTTTTGAGTTCGAAAATATATCTGTTTTGGATTTTCTGACTATCTTGTATTAAAAACATCTTGTGTTACCGATGTTAATGTACGGTGTAAAGTTCTACAACAGTGGAATATTTTAAGTTTGTAATTGTTTTGTGGTATAAAATAAAGTTTTGGAGCTTTTTCACGTCAACGTGATTTAGTGTTGCTGGTTCAACTCTGCTTTCAGCATTCGTATGCTAGATTACATTCTGCATTTGACTATAATGTGCTAAATAACGTGGGATCCCGAGGCAATGTTTGGATTGATGATGATAGGATATGGAATGGAGGAGGAAAGTAAGTGGATACTCTTGTTTTTGAATTTTATAAATTAGGACGGAGTTCATTAAAAAATAATGAATAGAGATTCGTTCTATTTTATTACACAACCATTTTTCATCCACTTCAATTTAAGAGTGTGTGATGGAACACCGATATTTTATTTTGTATTGTCTGTGCTGGGGAAATGACAAGGAATCCTACCCACTTTAGGGACAGAATTGATTATGTGTAAATTATCTTTATAAAAGTAAATTATCTTCGAACCCTTCTCCATCCACAAGCTCAATCATGACCCAAGAAATCTGTTTGACATTGAAAAACAGTTTCCCTGAATGAAGACTTCCCCCTATTTTTGCAGCCTCACTGTTAATATAAGCAATATGAAATGGCTTTATATTAAAGTGTGAATATAAAGAGAGATAAATTTTGTTATTTTGGAGACAGTAACTATACTGTAACCAAATTAGCATCAAGTATGGATGAGCATGCACTCTAACTCATTTACGTGGCAAATCTTACAAGTAAAAAAGTTGAGTTGTCGGAGTGAAAACTGAACGCTCTGCAGTGCTCACATTTGGTGAATTTAGCAGAACAATTTTCCTTTCAGTAATGACATTTTCATATCTAGTTCTAATTTGTACTTTTTGCTTCCCATTCTCTCCTCATAGCTTCTATTTCTCGCAATTCTGTTTATGTTCACGTAGTCCCTCGTATTTTTCGTTTCAAGGATTAAACTGTCCCAATGTCACTATTTTTCTGCTTTTTTGTTTTGCAATCACATTTTAAAGAATATAACAATTTGTTATTTACCTATAAAGTATGTGATATGTGTGATCTATGAAAACAAAATCAGGGCGGAAGAAAGAAGCTAACAACAAAGAAAAATTGGGAGAAGTAGAACTACAATGAATGAGCAACGAAAAACATAGATATTTTTTGTGCATGCGTGGTGAATGCAGGAAAGTAGTCAGTTTCTTTGTTAATATTTATTTCTTGATATTCTTTTATTTAAGATTAACTACGTGTAGTTGTATAATTTGAAGTGAACAAATAGCTGCGTGACGATGCAAATGTCTCTCGCAATTAATAAATATAATCACAAGATAACATTTGTTTTAAGAACGAAATAATCTCTTGTCTCAAACTAATCTATGATTAACTATGTTTTGTTAAATCAATTGCAGTCTCATTAGGTATCAGCTACGGCTTCCTTGAGATAAAATCCCAAAGGACACTTCTTCTTGCACTCCACATTTTTCTTCTTGCACCTCCACATTTTTCATTTTTCCCATTTTACCCTCTTAATAATAACAAACGGGATAACGTAATTCGGGAGAAATAAAAAGATCAAGAAATCTTGTTAATTTTTTTAGGAGCATAGTTGTTGAATTTCAAAATCTGCGTATAGCTCCGGATCCCATACGAGCATACCAGATTCGTAAATATGATCACAACTTTATATAATTTGATTTTGAAATTCGATAAACTCCACACCAAACCGGAATTTAGAATCCGGTCCAAATTTACAAATCCGGCATGAATTTAGCCAGAGTGTTTCATCCTACACCTCCAACATCTCATCCTGCACTTCCAAAAATTCCATTTTTAACCTTCTGACATCCTGCACCTCCAACCTTTTTAAAAATTTCATTTTTAACTTTCTTCTCTTTCTAATTAAAGACATTTTATTTTCTTCTCTTTTTCTTTTAAAGACAACCTACATCACCTTAATGATAATTCTAATTTAATTTAAAATTTAAATATTATTTAATATAATTTTATATTTTAATAATTATTAAAATATGATTTATATTATAATAATAACTATATTAAAAAAATAAAAATAAAATAATTAAAATAAAAATAAAAATAAAATAATAATAATAATATAAAATTTGACTTAATATATTCAAATATATTAAATTATATTAAAATATTAAAATAAATTAAACAATTATTAAATTGTAAATAAAAACAAAAAATTTTAAAAACTTGTTATCGAGAATCAGTTTTGTTTTTTATTTAAAATTTAATCAATATTTATTTTAACTAAATATTATAGCATTATTTATTATATTTTTATATTTTAATAATTATT